ATTCTTCTGACCTTACAGATTTTCCTATGGTGCCACTCTGCATGTTAAATCCAAGATTAATGATTTCTTCCTCAAAGGCTAAGTGGTACTACAATTCACACAGTTTAGGTATATTTTTTAAATGTATTTTAGGGGCGCCTGGGTGGCTCAGTCGGTTGAGCGACCGAATTCGGCTCAGGTCATGATCTGAGCTCGAGCCCTGCGTCGGGCTCTAGAGGCTGTTTCTGATTCTGTGTCTCCCTCTCTCTCTGCCCCTCCCCTACTCATGCTCTGTCTCTCTCTGTCTCAGAAATAAACATTAAAAAAAAATTTTTTTAATAAACCTATTTTAAACTATTTAACCTTATTCATTAAGCTTTATATTAGAATTCTTAACCCTTAAAAACCTTAATTTCTGGTTAAAATTAAGAAGTAAACAGTTGTGGGGGCACCTGGATGGCTCAGTCAATTAAGCGTCCCACTTCGGCTCAGGTCATGATCTCACAGTTTGTGAGTTCGAGCCCCGCGTCGGGCTCTGTGCTGACAGCTCAGAGCCTGGAGCCTGCTTTGGTTTCTGTGTCTCCTGCTCTCTCTCTCTGCCCCTCCCCTGCTCATGCTCTGTCTCTCTCTGTCTCAAAAATAAATAAAACATTTAAAAAAAAATTTGTTTTAAAGAAGTAAACAGTTGTGGACTGTCTCTTATCCTAGCATTCCTAGTGGATTGGCAGATTTATAAATACTTTTTACAATTTTTAGAAACGCATGCTTTCCCATAGTAAAATTTTTGGGGTGGCACAGGACATGCTTAGACACAATTGTTTTTAGTTCCTCTGTAAAAGGAAGCCAAAAGTAGACAAATCTATGTTCAGTAAATTTTAAAATAAATAAATGTTAAAATCAAATAATTCATTAAGCTTGTTAGAGTCCTAAAAATATCTAGCAATATCTGATTAATTCAGCTGAGTTCGTTTTTTTTTTAAACATTTTTATTCATTTTTGAGAGACAGAATGCGAGTGGGGGAGGGGCAGAGAGAGAGGGAGACACAGAATCCGAAGCAGGCTCCAGGCTCTGAGCTGTCAGCAGAGTCCAACGCGGGGCTCGAGCCCACAAACCGTGAGATCGTGACCTGAGCCAAAGTCAGCCGCTTAACCCACTGAGCCACCCAAGGGCCCCTGAGTTCAGTTTTTAAAAGTGCTGTCATTTTACAATGTGGCTATTTATCTTTTTTTTTTTTTTAAAAGACACATTTATTCAGTGTCATGATCAGACTATTACATTTAGCAATCAACAGCATGGGTGCAAAAAAAAAAAAATCTACATTAAAACCCTTTGTTGGAATGCTTTACACTTTCCACAGAACAGAAACTAAAATAACCTGTTATACAGTTAGTCACAAATACAGTCCTCGAGTTTTTTGCCCATACACATGAGTATTGTCTAAAACATGTCTTCTTTGTAGCAGCTAGGCCCTGCCACCACTGTGCTTGGCTAAGCTACAGGCTATTTATCTTTCAAAGCCTAGAATTAATATAAGTGCTTCCAGTGACAAAAGGGGGTTGGATACTTTATTAGCTATCATAATATATCTAGCATTATGTGAGCTGATTTTATGAAATTTATACAATATAAAATTGATCCTAAGTGAAAGCGACATAATCTAGCTCCCGCACTCGCTTGGTCTATTAGCTGAAGTGTGTTCACTGAAAAAAATCATTTGCTTTTTTTCCCTTCTGCAAACCCGAAGATAGTGCTGCTTGGAAATATGATTCTCTGTAGAATTTACAGGTTGCTAAAAGGATTCATGGCTGGTGTAATATCATTCATCTGTTTTGGCTTGCATAGCCTGAGAACGTGCCTTATAATTTGGCCAAATGTCTACGTGCTTCTCATACACTTCCAAAGAGAAGTGTGTTCGAAAAGGAGGAGAGGATTGCCTCTAAATTATATCTCAACAAATTTGATTCTTATAAGAGGTGGAGGGGAGGAAAACTAGTAGCACCTGAACGAAAGGGAACGCAATGAACTTGTCATACCCATCAGCACATCTATCTATCTGTTGGTTGAAAAAGTGTTTAAAATCTTCCTCCAACTCCACGAAGCTGCAGCTGGCAACCTAGTGTGGTACAAACTCGACCAGATGGAGGTAACAAATGAGCAGTCTTCTGGCTCCCTCCCGCAAGGGAGCCCTTGGAAACTATAAAGGTAAGAAGGAACGACATCAGCAGCAATCTTCTCAACAGCCGTCCTGGCTGCAGGAGAACCAAGGGGTATGATCTCTCAAGTGTGGGAGAGAAAGGGCTTTGGGCCTAGGATTTTATATCCCGTCAAGTTCTCACTCAGGTAGGAGAGTCTATGTATTAGTTTTTTACTGCAGCCATAACACATCACCGCAAACGAGCTGCTTAAATCAACACGTGTTTCTTTTTTTTTTTTTTTTTTTAATTTTTTTTTCAACGTTTATTTATTTTTGGGACAGAGAGAGACAGAGCATGAATGGGGGAGGGGTAGAGAGAGAGGGAGACATAGAATCGGAAACAGGCTCCAGGCTCTGAGCCATCAGCCCAGAGCCTGATGTGGGGCTCGAACTCACGGACCGCGAGATCGTGACCTGGCTGAAGCCGGACGCTTAACCAACTGCGCCACCCAGGCACCCCAACACGTGTTTCTTATCACACAGCTAAGTACGTGCGATGTCTCAACTGGCTCAGTTTCTCCGCTCTGGGCTTCACAAAGGCACGATCAAGGCATCGGCCAGCTGGGCTCTTAGCCAGAGACACTAGGAGGAACCTGCTTATTCAGATTGCTGACAAAATCCAATTTCTTGAGTCTCTGGACTGAGAGTCCCTCTTCTTTGCTGGCTGCCAGCTGGAGGCCCTCCTTCACCCCTGTAGGGCCTCTGCCTTGCATATGGCTCCCTTCACCTAGGAGCCGGCAACAGGGCACCAAATCTCTCCACTACTTCTCTGCCACATCTCTCTTGCCTTCAGTCTCAGAAAGTCCTTCATTTTGAAGGGCACATCTGGGCCCACTCAGATGACCTAGAATAATCTCCCTATCTTAAGGTCAAGGGAGTAGTCACTTTAATTACATCCACCAGGCCCCTGCATAACAGTACCTAAGTTAACATTTAATTGAGAACCAAGGAACATAAAAGTTGGGGGAAATCTTCAGAATTCTGACTACCACGGTGTATTAAAAATAGTTTTGAACAGGCAAGTCTGGGTGGCTCAGTCGGTTAAGCAGCCGACTTCGGCTCAGGTCATCTTGCAGTGAGTTGGAGCCCCATGTCTGGCTCTGTGCCAACAGCTCAGAGCCTGGAGCCTTCTTCAGATTCTGTGTCTCCCCCTCTCTCTGCCCCTCCCCTACTTGTGCTCTAGCTCTCTCTCTCTCAAAAATAATAAACATTTAAAAATTAAAAAAAAAAAAAAAAAAGGCTTGAACATACAAAGCCTAAGAAATATTTTTCCCGGAAAGATCCAACTTGAAAATACCTTTTGGATAAAGTATTCCAATAGGAAGAGAAACACATCCAGGAGATGTAACAAGAGAAATAAGGAGAATGAGTAACCAATTTTACTGAAATTTTAATTTGTTAAAGATGGTTAAAATTTTGTTTAAAAAACAATTTTTAATTGTTAATTTGTTAAAGATTACTGTTGCCTTATAAAAGGGCAGGAAGGGTGAGGGAAATTTATATCACAGAGAAGAAAAAGTATAGCAACAACTCAGAAATGAAAATCTGGGTAATATCAGGGAAATGGGATGGGAGGAAAAACACACAAGAGATGTGAAAACATGCTAAATATTTTGTTTTTTGGGATGAATGAAAGCAATGATAAATAAATAAATGTAAATAAACATTAGTATGGATCAAAGGTTAAAGGTAATGATTCTAAGAAAAATAGAATGTATAATGTTCAAACTAGCAGAAGAAAGCTCAGACAGTAAAAAGAATGCAGATATGGAGAGGGAATTTTTTAAAGCATAATAAATGAAAAATATGACGGCTGAGATAACTCCTCCTGTTTTAGTAACCACAATAAAAGGTAAACTATTAAACTCTCCAATTAGAAATTCTCAGGTAAGATTTAGAAAAGAATCCAATGCATATACATTGTCTTCGCGCCTGGGTGGCTCAGTCGGTTAAGCGTCCAACTTTGGCTCAGGTCACTATCTCACAGTTCGTGAGTTCGAGCCCCGCGTTGGGCTCTGTGCTGACAGCTCAGAGCCTGGAGCCTGTTTCACATTCTGTGTCTCCCTCTCTCTCTGCCCCTTCCCTGCTCATGCTGTGTCTCCCTCTGCCTCAAAAATAAATAAACATTAAAAAAAAAAAGACACCCTTAAAATGAAAAAGATTAAAAATAAAAGGTCTGATCTGGTTGCAGGCTAGGTCCATTGCAGAGCCAACATTAAATGCTGAGAGGCTTACAACTGAATGTAAACTAAAAATAAGGAAGATGGTAAATGTTACGTGGTTTGATCTCATTTAACATTTTTTGAATTTTTTTTTTCAACGTTTATTTATTTTTGGGACAGAGAGAGACAGAGCATGAACGGGGGAGGGGCAGAGAGAGAGGGAGACACAGAATCGGAAACAGGCTCCAGGCTCCGAGCCATCAGCCCAGAGCCCGACGCGGGGCTCGAACTCACGGACCGGGAGATCGTGACCTGGCTGAAGTCGGACGCTTAACCGACTGCGCCACCCAGGCGCCCCTTGAATTTTTTTTTTTTTAATGCCATTTGTATTCCTCACGCCATAGGTCCAATGTGGATCAGCAAGAAGATCCTGCTCATTAAACAGAACAGCACTGAGAATCTGCAAACTTCCAAGAACCCTTGCCCAATTTTTCCGGACGCGTGCGCGCGCCCAGGTCCAGCCCAGCCAGGTGAGGGAGGGAGCGTGGGGCGGGGCAAAGCCAAGGTTCCGAGCTGCAGGGCAGTAACTCAGCTCTCCCTGCGCTCCCTCCCCGTGCACACGCGGCTCCGCCGCGCTTGGCTCGTCCCGGGGCTCCGGGTCGAGATGGCGCTCATTGCGGCCACCAACTTCGGACTTGGCCTCCTGGTCCTGTTTGTGCTGTCCGACTGCACCTGCGGGGCGCGAGGCGGAGGTGAGTTCCTGGGCGCGGCGCGCGAGAAGACAGGTGAGTCCGGGCAGAGCTTTGGGACACTGGTCGCGGGGTAGCGCCGCCGCGCCGCCCTCTCACGTCCCCGCCGCCCCCTGTTCGGCTCGGCGAAGTCCGCGGGGCGGGTCACATCCTCCACGACGAAAAGAGGAGACTTGGGCAACTAAGTGCTGCCTGACGCTGGGGGCGAGGAGCGCAGGGTAGGGAGCGGGGCCGCGGCGGGAGGTCTGCGGGCGCTGCCACCGGGCGCCGGCCGCTTGGGGAGCCTGAGCCCGAGCCCCTGCGGCCCAGGACTCGGGCCGGACGGACCGCGATCCCACGGGGCCTGGACCCCAGGAAATCCCCGACTCTGGCCGCTCACACAACTCTTACCTCATGGGTTACCGTCCCCACTGCTGTCCTCCCTTGCACTACCCAGCACACGGGGGCAGTAGTTCAAGGCACACGCAGCGCCACCGCCCTAATTCGCCAGCCACATCTCAGTTCAGAGTCCGAAACCTCCCGGCAACCAGGCCCTGGACCACCTGCAGCCTCTTACTCCTTGTGACTTTCCCTGCTGCAAGCGGCACTGCCTCGCTTGGACACTGTAAGGGTCTCTTCCCCACCTCCAATGGGGATGTCACAGAGTGCACAGAGCACGTTTTCCTAAAACAATACCTCTGCGTCACAATTCTATAGGGTTATGTGACCTAAGAGGCCGGTTCAGCCACATTCCTTCATCCAGGGATTGTTATGGCCGCTTCCCTGCTACAAGAGCACTGTCGGTTACTTACAGCAGAGACCTGGGAAATAT